ACTAATTTTTACTGTTACTTTTCAATACTATTTGTATGTTGAAGAGGATAGATACTAAAAATGACTGATTATAATCTCACAATAAAATGTGTTTACGGCTTACTGAAAACGCTTAAGGATAACTCGTTACGTGAAAGTTCATTCCTTACCAAAAGACGGAACTTCTTTGATCCCAATTCATGTCAACACGATGATGATTTTTTATAATAATGAAAGTTAATATGCACAGTTTATTAAATCCTTGGGTATGATCATACCTTCTGAGTTATTTAGGAGGAAAAAAACCTACAAACACATTGAATAGTTTTTTCTGACGCATTTAATGATGAGTGCTCGTCAATCTGAGGTTACCCGGACGTTTAATGAATTTGTGGTATCCAACGTTTTCCATTTCTTTGGTGGGTGACTTTCAGATTATAGTGGAATTTATTTAATGATCTCATTTCAAGCTCTAAATTCCATTACATTTGTGTTTTCCTCCCGCCATGTTTGAATATACTATACAATGTGTTCTTAACAGGCAGACGTGGATAACTTTCAACGATTATAGTGGAATGTCTATTGTAAAGTACACTTATATACAGCACAAAGAATAAGTGGATAGAAAAATTCCATTGAAGTCATGAATCGATCAATGTTAGACCACCATTGTGAACCTGAAAGTACTGAAAAACCGTTTCGGGCTAGCATAGGACTCTTTAGAAGTAAGCATCCACGATCCCTCAACAGAGACTCGAACCCACATTTTTCGGTCTCGCGCAAGCGCCTAAACTCTAGATCACTTAGCCGGCGTCCAACGGTTTTAATGTCTCACTCCAATCCACGATGTTGAGCGACTATCTTCCATTGTCTTCGTGGATTAGTTGAAGCCAGACAATGACACCTTTGGATGACGGCTCAGTGGTCTAGAGTGTAATCGTTCGCGCGAGACCGACGGCCTTGGGTTCGAGTCTTTAGTGGGGTATCGTGGATGCTCTCTTTTGAAGAGTACCACACGGGGACAAAATATCCATCCAGTACTTCCAAGTTTCTAATGGTGATCTAACGTTGATTGGTTCATGAGTTCGATGAAATTCAGCAATGTCCACAACCCCAAACTGAGGATAGAAAAATGTCTGAAAATTTTTGGATGGTTTAATATTTGTTGAACATTGAGAACGTCCCGATGGCCTCAGTCAATAATTAAATTTACTCCTACGTAGAGCAAATCACAATGTTTTATTGATTCCCAGATAGTACAAAATAATGTCAGGCCATAAATTAATGCGACATAGTTAGTGTCTGGGGTTTGAAGTCTATACTAGTTGATTGAACTGTTTACTTACGAATATGACTACGATTGTAACTATATGGAAAACTACCAGATATTCAGACTGACCAATCCGAATTGGGTAGGGGACACTTACAATCTTATTGAAACAGTCTAAAGTTCATTCATTAAAACACTTATTAAGTGACTTAGGATGCCTCGTATTCTGTTGGTTTTTTAATGTTACCCTCTCAGAGCTAGTTGACATAGTCGTAAAGCCTTTACTATTTCTGCAAGCGACATTCACGGCGTCTACTTTAAATATAATTGGGAGATTAAACAGACGAGAAGCATTACATAGAATAAAGTGTGTCTCACCTTTACTTACGTACCCAAAGAGTTTGTCAGTTAAACTATACTACTTGTCGTTACTTATATCAATGCACATGGACATCTATAAATGCAAATTAGATTGCGAAAATATCGGTTATCGACAAGAAGGTGTAATTGTGCTAACATATTTCTGGTGACATTTCGTACAGATCAGTATAGGATTATTAATCATGTCGAAATGAATATAACCAATTAATCTACGTGAACAAAGCTAACTGAACATATAATCATTGGGAATGGAAAAGGAATATCAGTATAACAAATTTACCTTAAAAATGCAGTCGAAAATATGTCAATATTAGTACAGATTGATTTACCGTTATGGAATCACTTTAAAGTAGGAGCTGATAGTTCTGGACAGAATGACAATAAAAGCTAATAATTAAAGGGTCTAATTTAAAGAACATTGACAGCATCCATCTTTATCAATAAAACTATCCTTTTTTGAATTGATTTGATATTGTTTGTTTGAATCTCCCCATTGATTTTTAGGACTGCAATTGATCAGTCTCTTATTGGCAGATGTACATCCTGTGCGGATTGCCTCGATACTGCCTTAATCCACGAGCATTATAAGCAAAGATGGTTGATAGCTAGTAGCTGACGAGTCCCACATAGAACGGAACGTTCGTTTTGGGTCTCACTATTGGCCACCAAACATTCATCCTTTTTTGTATTCATGAGTATTTTATTGATATTGTTCATATTTTGGACCAATAGTTTGAATTTGTTCGTGTGAATTTGAACGGATTTCCACTTTCTGGTTATGTTTATCGGAAGGATATATCTCAAAAATCGTATAGTGGGAAGTCATTTTGAATATAGTCTAAAACGTTTATAAATTTTTATGGTTTGTAAATCAATATCTAGTGTAACAAAACATCTGAAAAGTGTTAAGTACTGGCAATATACAATAATCATTTTTGGAGGTTATACCTTCCCACAACGAAAGAAGGAGTTAGAAGAGGTCGGTCCTTCCAATAGTAAACCTGACATTACCCCATGGATTTCGTGTATGAGTAGTTAGGTTTGAATAGCTCGGAGCTAATACTTCCCAAACTACTCTCAAAGAGGCCATGTTTAATTTGCCTCGAGCAGTTGTCCTTCAGTGTCATAGTTGTCACCAAGATGATCTTCACTACCCCTTTGTGAATAACATCCACGATGTGGGTTGCTGAGCAATGACAATTACTCACATGCTTATTTTGGACGTAAAAGATTGGGTGCTCAACCAGTCTGTCTTTTCAAGTGAAATAAGGGCCGTTTAAGCTATGAATGTTTGGCGACTCAGTGTTTAAACATTGTCAGTGAAAGATTGTTCACATCTGATGTTGAGACTGTCTAGGTAATCCCTATGTTCGATAACATGTATTTGAATACAGTAATAACATCTTAAATGTTGTCAAAATGCTGTAGTACTAGCCTTTGTGGCTTGGACATATTTTAAGAATGCCCTTCAGGTGGTTTCCACATCTCACATAACTTTTCGACGTTGCAACCGCGTTAAAAAATCCCTAGAGGCGTTTCGTTTATTAAATGGTACCATGGTACAAAAAATAGCTACATAGGTTACAGTCCTAAAATTCATACAAACCAGTGATTTCCCATATGCTTTAGAATGGAAACCAACAGTATTTCGCAGTAATTTTCCATTAAATTTTTCATAAAATCAAAATGGTCCATTTCGCTGAAAGACATCTATTCCAAATGGATCCTTAACCGAACAGTACTTTTTATTAAATACTATCATTATCGATTTATATAACTAATCATCCTCACGAAAGCTGTCATTCTATTTTGTATGGAGCCATCTTTTTAGTGAACTATTATGTAAAAAATATACATATGTGTTATAAATAAAATAATAACTTTAGTCCAAAATAAGAATTTATCATAAGAGAAAATCTCAATATTGAACGTCTATCATAACTTTAATACAAATAAACAAAACTGGTCTTAATAGATATACCACATTAATACATAAAAGTGTTTACGAAAGCTCAAAGATGTACTCAGAACGGAATACTGTAAGTGTTGCTGTCTAATTCGTGCGTAAAGCACTGATTATATTGCCCAGAATGAAAATGAAAACTCCATGGTTAAACTATCCAGCTGATTGAACTCAGTAACACTAAAAACATCTATCTTGGCTGCAAATCTCTATTCTTTGCAGAATAGTAGGTATTAGAAAATAATATATTAAAGGTATTAATTGTTCCTCGTTTAAATATTAACACTGGGATGTGGCGGATGCATCTGTGATGTATTCTACTTGTGATGACAGATATAGACAGCATGTAACGCTAATCGCAAGTGGATGCCTTGTAGTAGAAGATTGAAATAAAGAGAACAGGAAGGAAATCGGAGTACATTCGAAATAAGAACAGAATTAGACAAATAATGGAGTATGTAAAGAATAACGCAAAGAAAATGTATAATTTTCATATTTTACTGTCATTATGATTTTGCATTGAACATTTTCATTCACTAAATATTCATTAGAAAAGCTCTAAACAGTACTTTATATACATTCTGGACTTCATTGTTAATTAAAATTCAAATTATCAGTATAGGGTTGTGGAGATTATTTAGCTATTGATTGACATCATGATCCGATTGATGTTAGACCAGTGACTAGTGGAGCTAATCCGTATCGGGTAAAGACATGTATCTACCTCAGTACAATCAATGATAGTCGCTCAATTTCCTGAATTGATTGTGGTTAGACATTAACACCATTGGATGCCAGCTCATTAGTCTAGAGGTTAAGCATTCTCGCATGAGACTGAATACCCTGAGTTCAAATCCCCTGAGCGGAATCATGGATTCTCTTTGCTGTTCAGTGCTTCCAAGTTTTCACTGGTGATCTAACATCAATCGGTTCATGGTCTCAATCAAGAAAAAATTCAAATTCACCAGAATAATTTTCATCATTTTACTTTCATCCAGTTTTCATTATTCCTTTGATTATTATTACTATTATAAAACTTACACATATATACACTTTTGTCTATTACTAATTACAATAACTTAAAAAGATACCTAAATCACTTTGACTAATTGAATTTTCTCTTATTAAACTAAATAACTGGTAGAATCTATATTAACTTGTTTTTTTTGGATTTGATGTATAGTTTATTGAATTTCTATATTATTAACCACGTGATTCGTTTGTTCAATATGTTCAATATCAATATAGTCGATAAAATAAATTTTTGAAAATAACTAACTATGTTATATAATTACATTCTTCTTAATAATACTTATCGTTGTGCTATAATCATTCTATATAGATATTTAGTTTTAATGAATAGCATAAAAGAACAAAGAAATATTGAACATTGAAAACGTTTAATTCATGGGAAATTGTTTACAAATTTCAAATTGTAAAAGGTTATCAAATCATTTGAAATTATTACGTAATATTGATCATAATCATAATGATAATGATTATAATAGAAATTCAATATTTATTGAAGATTTGAATGATTTAAATCAATACTTTTTATTCAATAATCATCAATTAAAACAATTGAATGATAATAAACATGATTTATTAAATGAGAATTCTTTAAAGAAGCTTGATTCTTATTCAATATTAAATGATGATGATGATAATGATGATGATATTAGTAATGATAGAAAGGTGAATTATGATTCTAACTATTACAATGATTTATTAATTCAAAATAAATTTATAAATTATTTTATTCCTATCAGAAATAAGAAAATAAAATACAATACTACTAATACTACTAATATTACTACTGTTAAAAATCAGCATAGTTACAAAATATTAAAATCAACTCGTTGGCCATTAATTAATACATCTATACTTGGATTTACTATTTTAACATCGAATATGTTAAATTTAATGGAATGGTTACAATATAATGAAGATGAAACGTATTCAATGATCAATTTTAAACAATTATCAATGAAAGATGAACAAATGAAAATCACTTATTTAAACAAAACAAATACAAATGTTAATAATAATAATAATAATCTCTTGTTACCAAGTGATTGGTTACGTTATACCATGTTTATGCATCAAACAAAATTGGATACAATTCAATTTTTAACAATATTTCATAGAATGAAATATGTTTTGCATAGTTTAGAAATAAAAACTGGTTGTAAAATTTTAATAAGTAAATATTTATTTATGTATAAAGGGAATTTAGTACGTAAATTTGTAATTGATGGACCAAATAAAAAACAAATTCTTCAATGTTATTCAAGTTTACCTCAATTATTTAGTCGATTGTTAATATTGGAATGTGACAGACCAAGTACAATATAATTTATATATGAATATTAAATGAAAATAAATAAAAAAACAAAGAAGGAATAGTAGATTCAGAAAAAGGTTTTTGAATACGATTCATTTTTAAAACAGTCTCCTCTGATTGTTCAATATTCATTTATGTTTACAGTATTATTGTATATATTGTATACAAGCATGGTAAGGCAACAATATATATACATATATATATCCCTTAGAAACTTTTATTTAAATGAATAAAATGAAGTACTGGGGATGATTTGTAGCTTGGGTAGATGATTTTAGTGGAATTATGTTCTTTGAGTTGAGTTTGTTTTAATTATAAAGTTTTTATTATCTTTCGAAACAACAATATTATAAACGTGAAGTTTATAAAGAAGTGATTTATATGAATTTTGTCACACATGGCACGATCAAACTACTCAGCTAGGAGGATTCGATCTGACTAGGATGAATTTGTTCATTGGTAAAGTAATAAAATGGTATAATTTGATTACACCTTTTTAATCACATTTATCAGTCGATAAGAGGAGATAAAAGGAATAAAAGAAATAAGAACGGAAAGGAAGCAATACTATTGGTAGAGAAAGTGAATAGTTCAGTTATTTTCTTTATGTGTGATATACAGTGAATGCTTGAGTGTTTTGTGAAGAGATTTTTGTAACTTTGAATGTAGTTTCCTTTACAAACTGATATCAATTGTAGAACTAGTGAAAATCACGGAGCGTTGGACAGCTCGAGACCTACCATCAGTGTACATTCACGATTACATAGGCCTCTGGGTCAGCACAGAATTTAGTCAGAATGGAATGGTCTAAATTTCAACTCCAGTGTCAGATTGTGAACAAATGTGGTTCACAATATATCTCATTGATTGAATGTAATGAAGGTGTCTCGAACTAGGACACAACAACTGTTAGATACCCTGGGTTTTTCAATGGATCTTCAGAAAAAAGTATCAGCTCATAACAGAAACTATTCCCACGACAGTAGGTGTTCTTGAAATTCCAACCATATGGCCTTATGTTATCACGTTCTCCTTGATACTTAAATTTACTCGACTAGACCCCATGTTTGATCATGGGTGTTCATTATCGAGGAGTCTCAAAAAAAAATGAAACAATTGTCCAGCGTCATGTGGTTTCCAATAGGTTCTTTAGTTAACTTCAGTCCGTGACATAAAAAGTTATATGCCGATTGTAATCTTGTTGGCGAGGGTGCTTTTTTTTCGGAAAAATAAATCAATATTTAACTTCATTTAATTCAGTTGACCTTATGACCCATTCACATGAAATTTATCGATCAACTTTATACAGTAATCACATTCCGTGAAAAACATATTGTCTTTTTTAATGTCTGTTCAAGTCACCTAAAATCAGCTAAGAAATTCATTCTATACATTTGAGTGGAAAAAGATTAAATGTTGTTAAAACCATTGTCTTTTTGAAGTGATTTCGATGTGGCTATAAATTCATTTATCTTTGAAACACACTGATTTTCAACCTTATATATATATAACCACCTGGAGCCCCTCTAGAGCTACTGACGGTCCCAAGCCAGGATAAAGGTGGAGGGTTGGGTAATGGGTTACGACCTCGTCCCGTAGAAAACTAACTCGTTAAAAAACACTAATCAAAAAAACGTAATATATATATAAAGATTAGAAGCGTACGATTATCACTATTATGTATTGTTCAGTTGTTAATTTGCATGATATCCTTTTTAATTCTATATTAGTTGTGTGCAGCTATGTTCTTTCTTATTATCAGAGTTATATTGTCAAACTTCACTGCTGAACATTTCATAGATTAGTTTATAAATCTTGAATTAGTGTTCAATAAGTCAGTTGTTTAGTGTACATGAACAAGTAACTTATACAGTAAACAGTGATGATTAAAGTTTACTATTTGTAGTGTACATATTAGAAAATATGTAAGTTGAATTGTCTTTCAATAATCAGTGTATTTATTGTTGGAATGTCGTCTGTCTATCTATCTATCTATCTATCTGTCTGGCTATCTATCAGTCAGTCAGTCAGTCAATCGTTAGTAAACAATATAAGATCTGGTCTAATTTGTTACATTTCACATCAGCATAATGAAGAAAACTTGGAATATGATAAGTTACGTTTCTCAAATTGTAACATGATTGATGTACGGAAAATTGGTCCAAAGGAAACGAATGAAATAGTGAAATGTAAAACATGCGGTATTATACAAACTCAATCAAGATTGTTTCTATGATGACTAATTTTCAGTTACTATAGTTAACCATAGATAGAAATGATCTATTAATAAGTAGATGATAGTTGAACTGATCAATACTTATTACCTACTTGTACTAGGTAGCATTATTAGGTAGAATGTTGTGTTAAAGAGACGATTATTAAAGTTGTTAAAACATTTGAAACACTGAGAAATATTCATACAATTGATTCTATACTCAGTGTATTATTCTGCAAGAATGAATTACAACTCGTAAATAGGGTGATAAAATACCCTGTTTGTAATCTACTGCAGTTTCAATTTGTATTCCTCTGTTGCCTTTTGATCGGGTAATTAACTGCTTGTTAGTATACGAACAAAGCGCTTGAAGAATGTAATATGTATTGAGCGGTAGGAAATATGTGATAGTTTGTAGGAAGATCTCGGAATTCGCTTATCAGAATATAATTGATCCCTTAGCAGTGTATAAAGTAATATGACGTAATCATAGGATTGTGAATAGAGTAACATGTATTTATACTATCAAATTAGTCTTGATAGATTGGAAGCAACAATGCAAGCATGTTCGGGATGCGATTCTCCCCCTCGAAATGCAAAATGTTGCTTCAGGATTGGGTTACATCGACACCCGAACTAGTGATGGGGAGTGAAGTAGTTGAGTGTGTCGACCGCTTCACTTATCTTGGAAGTCTCATCAGCCCTTGTGGTCTGGCGTGTGACGAAATCTCAGCACGGATACAGAAGACTCGACTAGCTTTTACCAACTTGCGTCATTTATGGCGCAGGCGAGATATCCGTCTATCAACCAAAGGACGGGTTTACTGCGCAGCAGTTCGTTCCGTCCTACTTTATGGCAGTGAAACATGGCCGGTAAGAGTAGAGGATATTCATAGGCTACTAGTATTCGATCATAGGTGTCTTCGAAATATTGCTCGTATATCCTGGGACTATCGAGTAAGTAATGCAGCTGTCAGGAAACGGGTACTAGGTAAGGATGGCAAATCAATTGATGACGTAGTGAAACTTCATCAGTTGAGATGGCTGGGACACGTGTTACGTATGCCCAACGACCGACTGCCTCGACGTGCGATGTTCAGTGGTATAGGAGTAGGTTGGAAGAAAGCTAGGGGCGGCCAGACCAAAACATCGCACAAGTCCATGAAGTCACTGACAAGTGGACTGAGTCATGTTGGTAGGTGTAGACTACCGCGAGATGATAGCAACCGATGGTTAGAGACCCTGAATGACATGGCTCAAAATCGTTTGCAATGGCGCAGGTGCATCCACTCTATGTGTTCTCCCAAATTCTAATCTGATTTCTTCATGTCCCTTTCTTTTTTCCTCTTTCCAAATTTATTCCACTGGATTATACTCTTTAAATAACATCTCCAAACCCTAATCTTCCCGATTACTGCTTATACTCTTATTATCTCTACCATTACGGGATTTGAATCGACCACTGCATCTGTGTGCTAATGTGGTGTGGCAATTCGAACTGATGTACGTACGTACGTACGAAGTTCTACGTTGTTACTGACTGACTGACTGAGAAGGATAAGAAAAATTTCGCTAAATAAACACTGTTTACATCGTGTCATTGAGGAGATATATTAATGTTAAAATATGAATTAGAAATTTTTACCAACTCTTTAGTAAAACTTCAGAGCACTATCCGTAATATAAGGTAGAAAACCTTTAAGATTTATGACAACACACCCATGAGCTGCTCGATGGACCACATGAGTAATTTGTCGAAGTACAACCAACATCACACTATTTAAGATTAATATTGTAAAGTTGTATATTTAATCTGAGTTTCATATTTTTAAGAAATATTCCATCATTTCTACAGAAATATAGTTCGATAGATTACATTGTTAACTTATTAATTTAAAACTCACTGTTAAGTAAAAGGAAATGTTAAGAAGAGCTCAGATTATGCAGTTTTGTGCTATCACGTATTAGTTGTTTCTATAAAGGACAATTTCATGATTCCACAATAAAAATTTTCTGTTATCTGATTTATTGTTGTTACTTTTAGTCTGTTAATTTTGTTTCAAGGTAATTAAGTTTAAGAAATAGAAGGGATGTTTCATTTCAATTTTTTATGTCTATTCAAAGTACAAATCCATCTTGAAAGCCTTATCTTCTCTACCTCATAGTAACATGTGAATGTTTAACGTTGAAGTGTTTTAGTGTCGGTTGTCATTCTGTCGAGTCCTCCATAAAAATCGTACACATTAGAATAAACTCGATTATTCTCTGATATGCAATTACCATAGGCATATACCGAACCATAGTTTCAAGATAACAACAGGGAATCTGCTTTATACTAGTTTATTGTGCAAACTGCTTCCATTTGTTTGCATTTAATGCAAATGATTTTAATCAAAACGGTCGGATAATGAGTAAGCAAGCTACATAAAAATAACAGTTCTAAAATTATAGTTAATGAATAATCTTATAGATACTCAATAAACACAATGGATAATGCTAATAAGTTGGAGTTATTCCCTCAGTAGGTGTTGATCGATTCCAAATGGCTGTGGCAAGTACAAATCAACAATTTAAAGTTGTGGATTTGGATCTTTTATTTAATCTTCCAGTTTATGAATTAGATTTATCCTTAAGAATTACATCATCGAAAAAAATTCACCTTAACAAAATTTTAGCTCATTCGCTAATACAGAAAGCAGATAGATATAAGTTGGCAAGTCATATCTTGAAAGATATATATTTGAACACTGTTCCGAACTGAACAATTTCAGTATGTGTAGGTTGTATTCGTCACATTTTAATCTCAGTTGGAGTATCGTTAAAAATCGGAGTTTATTAGTTAACTGTTTCGTACTAATACGCTCATCCATCATGTCACCTGGAGTTGAGCCCAGGACCTTCACTTTTCTGGCGAATACCATTAGAGTCACTGAGTAGTCAATCAGTGGCAGGATTTTAACTTTCATCAGTTTGTTATATAGCGAAACGATCAGCTAATACCACTGACGACAATTGATTCACTTCCGAGATACTTAACTCTATTAGTCACGGATTCCTATTT